GGCTTGTTTATGGCTTGTTCAATTTCTTTTTCTAAGATAAAGTTACTTAGTATTCTATTCCCTGTTCTGTTAATCTGGAAAACTTATTTTTGCTAAATAGTCATCCATTTTATTTAGCTTTTCAGTTTTGTTGGAATTTAGACAAAATAGCTTTTAATAATAGCTTTTATTTCTTCTTCATTGGTTGTGAATTGACCTTTTTCATTTTTTATACTAATAATTTGGGTTTTTAAAAATCAAATTAGCCAGTAGTTTATTTTATTGTTTTATTCTCCCCAAAAAGCCAACCCCTAGTTTTATTTATTAGTTCAATGCGGTTTTTTTTTATTTACTTTCCTTTTGTTAATCTCTCTTTTGATTTTTCAGGACTTCTGTTTTAGCATTTAATTGGAGGTTTTAAATTTGCTGTTTTTCTAGTTCTTTTAATTGCACACCCAATTTGTTGAACTGCTTTTTCTGTTTTTTATTGATGTAGGCATTTAGAGATAAACATTTTCCCCTAAATGTTACATTGGCTATATCCCACAAATTTGGATGTGTTCTTCCTTTTGTCATTATCTTTAAAGAAATTATTGATTGTACCATAAGAAATTCAGCTTCAGCCCCTTATTTTAACTCTGTATATCTTTCTGTTTGAAGTATCTTTCCAGTAAACAACATATTGTTAGATTCTGGTTTCTAAATAATTCTGTTGTCCTCTTGTTTTATGGGTTAGTCCCGTTCACACTCACAGGTATGTTTGCTGACTACGTATTAGCTGCTATCCTATTCTCTTATATGTATCCTTATCTTTTTTACCTTGTCCTCTCCTCGAGAGTTTGTGTTGCTTCTGACAGCTGCCTCCCTTATCCTACCCTCCTTATTCTACCTCACACCACTTTTTCTTAACCCCTTTCCCTCCTGCTTCCCTGTTGGATAAGATAAATTTCTATACCTAACTGCTTGTGTATGTGTTTATTCTTCCCTCTTTGAACTAGTTCAGATTAGAGTGAAGTTCAAGTGTTGCCTGGTGCCCTCCACAACCCTCTCCACTATATAAACTTTTGCTATGTGCCCCATTTACATGAGATAATTTACCCTATTCCTCCTCTCCCTTCTCTCATCTCAGGAGGCATTCCTCTTTCCCATCCTTCCATTCTTCCTTTAAGATCATCCCAGTATAATAGAATCACACCCAGGCCCTCTATTTAGACTTCCTCTAAGGCCTCTGGTGATGATAAAGTTATGAGGGATATGTATCCTCTTCTCCATATAAAAATGTTTAAGCTTGGTTTAGTCTCTTATGATTTTTCACTCATGCTTACCTTTTTTTATTTCTCTGGAGTCTTGTGTTTAAATATCAGATGTTCTCTTCAGCACTTGTCTGCTCATCAGGAATGCTTGAAAGTCTTCTATTTCATTAAAGATTCCTTTTTCCCCCGTCAGATTATACTCAGTTTTGCTGGTAGGTTATTCTTTGTTATAGTCCTGGATCCTTTGCATTCTGGAATATCATATTCTAAGCCTTCTGTGTCTTTTAATTGGTGGCTGCCTAATCTTATGTGACTTTGATTGTGACTCCATAGTACTAGAAGTCTTTCTTTCTGCCTTCTTGCAGTATTTTCTCCTTGGCCTGGGAGTTTTGAATTTGGGCCATAATATTCCTGGGAGTTTTTATTTTTGGATTTCTTTGAGGTGACCAGTGGATTCATTCAGTGTCCACTATGGCTTCTGGTTCTAAGATATATGAGAAATTTTCCTGTATAATTTCTTAAAATATGATGTTAAAGTTCTTTTTTGGTTCATGGGTTTAAGTTAGTACAACGACTTTAAAATTATCTCTTCAGTCTATTTCCGAGGTCAGTAGTTTTGCCTTTGGATATTTCATATTTCTTCTATTTTTACAATCTTTCTAAAACTTTGTTTTATTGTTCCTTGATGTCTCATAGAGTCATTAGCTTCCACTTGACCAATTCTAATTTTTAAGGAGTTATTCTCTTCAGTGGGGTTCTGTACCACTTTTACCATCTGGCCATAAAGGAATTATTTTCTTCAGAATTATTTGTAACTCTTCTTACCAAGCCCTTAATCCTCTTTTCATAACTTTCTCACATAGCTCTTATTTATTTCCCCATTTTTCCTCTACTGCTGTTATTTGATTTTTAAAATTACAGGTAGAGCCCATCTCCTATGGGATTGTTCCTCTCTACCCTGGAACTGTGACAGCACCCCTTTTCTGTTTCAGGGGTCCCCTGGGAACTTTTTATGCCTTGATGCTTCCAGCCTTGATGTTCAGCCTCAATCTCCTTACATTCCTGGCCAATGGAATAGTCCCCACTCCTTATATGGTGCATCCTGGTCATCCTCTGCCCTAATGTTTTCCCTCTTTATCTTCCTTAGAGTTCTTTGGCTGGAAAAATAACTTACTGTGAATTTTTCCTGTGAATTTTTCCTGTTTTTTCTTATCAGAATTCAGTCTGGTGCATTTCCTAGGTTGTTGTGGAAGAAGTATGCTAGGTGAACTGGGAAAAAATGCTGTCACTCTGCCATCTTGATTCTGCTTCTTTATAGAAACTTTGAAATACAGACACAGGAGTCAAGAGAAACATTAAAAGTTAAACATGAGTGAAAATCATAAGGCATTAAATAAAGATAAACTCTTTACATTTTAATATGAGATAGTATTAGAACAGTGCCTGACACATAGTAAGTATTTAATAAATGCTACTTGATGATATAAATATATATATATATAAATATAATAAATGCTACAAGATGATACTTATTCTCTCAAAATCCTATAATCAGTGGTCATAGAGGGTAATTAGAGGTCCTGGGAGGTTTTTGTTTTTAATATTTTGATTATCTTAAAAGAAAGGGAAGGAAAGAGAAATATCCTGGGGGCAGATAGGGAGAAAGGTAGAGAAATATCACATAAATTGGTGTTTGCAGTTACATGAAATATAATGAATCCTATACAAACAACAAGGAAGGGTGGGGAAAGTGGGCAACACTTGAACCTCACCTTCATCTGAACTGATCAAAGGAGAGAATACACATGCATAAGTGGGTACAAAAATAGCTTTCTTTCAGTAGGGAAACAAGAGGGAAAGGGAAGAAGTTAAAAATGAGAACAAGAGAATAGATTAAGGGAAGGATTAATCCTAAGCAAAACGAACTCCAACTCAGAGGGTTAGATTGCAAAGAAGGGCTTTAAAAAAATAAATGAAAGAAAAAAAACCTATGATTGGGTTCTGGGGGAGAGAAAGACAAGAGAAACAGAGAAGTAAAAACAGAATTCGCCAAACCTAGAACATTGGTGACAAGCACACACCTTCTCTCTCAGCATCCTCTTCTATATAAAAAGGGGGAAGGAAACAGAGAATATGAAGTACAAGAGCATAAAAAGAAAAAACAATCATAACTGTGAATGTAAATGTGATAAACTCACCATTAAAACAGAAGAGAATAGCAAAATGGCTTAGAAAGCATAATCCAACAATATGACATGAAACACACCTTAAACATAAAGATTCACACAGAATTAAAATAAGGGGCTACAGAAAAATCTATCATGCTTTAGTTCTAGTAAAAACTTAGAACTCTGATTAATCTGTCCAGGATCCCAGAGGTACAGGATTAAACATAGTACCTACCTCCTGACAGGTGATGGACTCAGAGTACAGAATGAGACAGATTTTTGGACTTGGTCAATGTGAAAATTTTCTGTGCTTGACTATGTGAATGTTTGGTTTTGTTTGTTTGTTTGTTTGTTTGTTTGTTTCTTAAGTGTGAGAAGGGGGAGAGGAAAAGAAATGGTTGTAAATTCACCAAAAAAAGTAAAATAAAAAGTAACATTTTAAAAAACGTACCCTTTTTTTTTTTAAGATAATTGATAATTTTGGACAATGGTTTTCAGTTGACTGATGTTAGAAGCTAGGCAGAAATGAGTGGGGCTGGGTATAACAAAGTAGAAACAATGGAGTGATTCGTAAAAAATAAGTCTCATTAGTTGCCTATAGCACTGGCCTCCTTTTTGTTCCTCACAAGACACTCTGCCTCTGAGCTCAGTTCATTTTCGCTTGGCTATACCCTTTGCCTGGAATTCTCTCCCTGCTCATCTCAGGCCCCTTGGCTTTCTTCCAATCTCCACTCAAATCGTCCCTTCTTTAAGAAGCCTTTCCAAATCCTCCTTAATCTTAGTAGCCTTCCCTCTGAGATTATTTCTAATTTATCCTGAATGGAACCTGTTTGCACGTTGTCTCCTCCCTTAGATTGTGGGCTCCTTTGAGGGTAGGAGATGTTTTTGCCTTTTTTTTCATAATTCCAGATCTTAGTACAGTATCTGGCACATAGTAGGTATTTAATAAATGGTTGTTAATTTGACCGTTTTTACATCCTAGGCTTTTCCTCTAAAGCTCCTGAGGAAGGATGCAGTTCCCAGGTTTAACAGCGACGCTGGCTTATCCGTGTCTGGATTTCTTTGAGAAGGGGTGTGCTAAGATTGTCACCTGCCTCTTTTCTGAATATCGCCTTAAAAGTTATCTATTAATGAATGCCTTTTGTTTCTACATCTCATTTATTTCTGAATGTATTCTTTCCCCACCCCCCTAATCAGGGAGCCATCCCTTCTAAAAGATTTAAAAATAAAAAAGCAGATCAGCAAAATTAAGGACACACGGATCGTGTTTGAAAGTACATTCAACACTCCGTATCTACAGTTCCCCGCCTCTAGAACAGTATAGGCAATATTCCATATGCACCAAATTGAAAAGAGGAGCTCGGTCCATTTTTTCAGCTCCCTAAGCTCTGGCATTATTCACTATAATTATGGAGCGAGGATTATGAAGCTATCAACAACCTCAGAAAAAAGACTAGATTTAAGCAGGATGGAGAGAGAGAGAGAGACAGAGACAGAGACAGAGACAGAGACAGAGACAGAGAGACGGAGAGACAGAGAGAGAGCGAAGGGCGGGCCGGCCGTGCGGAAGTGGCGTCAGAGCCCCAGAAGGTGACAGGATCACGTGGCCCACATCCAGCGGCAGCGCAGCCTTACAGCAGAGATGGCTGCGGAAGGGAAGATTAAACGGAAGAAAAAGAAGCGGACCGGAGACAGGTGAGGAACGTGCGTAGGCCGCGGACGCGTGCCGGGGGCTCCCTCCTCTCCGTCCCCTCCCTCCCCTCCTCCACCCCCGAGTCTGTGTAGAGGCCGGAAGGAGGAGACCTCGCCGTCCCTCCGGTCCCCTAGGTCCGTGATCTGCTCTGGAGCTCAGGCGGCCCCTCCCCCTGGGGTGAGCAGACGTGCCCTCAGAAGTCGTGTCTGCGACCCCTGCCTCGCTCCCAGGAGCGCAGCATCTCGAGCCTTCCGCCCCTCCTGGGCGGTTGAGTGGCGTGGTGTAGAGAGCACAGGACTTGGAGAAGGGAAGACCTGGGTTCAAGGTCTGCTTCTGACCCAGGGGAAGTCACTTAGCCTCCTTTTCCTTACCTGTAAAACAGGGATAATTACAGTATTTACGTCACAGGACTGTTGTGAGGATCAAATTTATTTATATATGTGTGTGTGTGTGTATATACACATTTACATACTTATATCCACATACACGCACACGCACACCCCTCTATACCTCTTGTTCACTCTTCTCTTCGTGACCCCATTTGGGATTTTCTTGGCAAAGATATTGGAGTGGTTTGCCATTTCCTTCAGCTCATTTTACAGATGAGGAAGCTGAGGCAAACAGGGTTAAGTAACTTGCCCATTATCAAACTGCTAGTAAGTGTCTGAGGTCGGATTTGAATTCAGGTCTTCCTGACTCCTGACTCAGCACTCCATCCACCACACCACCCAAATGCCCCAGAGATGGCTCTCTTCTATCTCAGCAGAGATAGAGATATATAGATAGATCTATATCATCTATATATGTGTATGTGTAAATATGTGTGTACAGTTGTACAAATCTTAAAGCTGTATATAAACAGGGGCACAGTGAATAAATAGTTGGACTTGAAGTAAGGAAGCCCTGGGTTTAAGTCCCTTCTCTGATAGTCAGTCAGTTAACAAGCATTTATTAAGCACTTGTTATGTACCAAGCACTGTACTAAGTGCTGGATATACTGCGAAAGGCCAAAAAAGGGGGGGGGAGGGGAGAGCAATAATTGTCTGTTACCCCGGTTAAGTCATTTAAACTCTCTTAGCCTCAGTTTCCTCACATATAAAATGGGAATAACAATAGCATCTACTTCAAAGGGCTGTTATGGGGAGCAAATAAAATATATGAAAAGCACTTTGCAAATAAAGTGCTATAAAGATACCTGCTTTTATTTCCTTCTAGCAGAGCAATGGAAGATAGAATGGGCAGCTCCTCATCTGGAGAGTATCAGGTTGGACAAGTGGCCAGCAGCCTGTTTCAGAACAAGCCCTTCAAGACTGGCAAGAGCCACCTGGCATCACTCTTCAGCTCCTCAGCTACAGAAGTGCAGCAGCCTGTCTATGTGGCTGCTGGAGAAGTAAGTCAGACAGTGATCTGGTGCCTTACTAAACACTTTTTTCTCCTGGCTGAAATTTAATTTCATTGGTATAGTGAATTTCCTCTATGAATATATATTCATAGGAACTGCATTGCAGTTCATAGTCTTAGAGGATTTCTTGAGGGTACTTTGAGACAGAGTGACTGCCCTAGGTCAGAAACTACATTTGAATTCAGATCTTTCCTACTAAGAAGGTCTACTCTTTATCCAGAAAGCCAGTAGGAAGCCAGCTCTATCCATTAAGCTATACCCTGTGTTTAGTTTCATAGGGAACTCATAAGATCCTTGTTTATAGTTAGAAGGAATCTCAGAAATCATCTAATCCATCCCCCTTATTTTACAATGAGAAAAGTGAAACCCAGAAAGATGAGGTGCCTATCCCAAGGTCATAAGGATAGTAAGAAACAGCTGGTCTCCCGACTCCAAATCTAGTATATCATCATGTGTCAATCAATAAGCATTTATTATGTGCCAGGCACTGTGCTAAATGCTGAGGACATAAAGAAAGGTAAAAACAAACTTTGACGACTAAGGAACTTAGACGGGAGATGTGTTAATATTTAGGTGTATACAAGATACATGCAAAGTAAATGGAAAGTAATTTTAGAGTGGAAGGTTCTACCAATTGAAGAAGGAAAGGTGGGAAGAGAGGAAAAGAGGAGGATTTTGCATAAGTTGGTATTTGTGCTGAGTAAAAACTCTTAAATATAACTTATTTTCTTTTAAAGGCTAACAGCAAGAAGAGAAAGCATAATGAAGATGAGATTGCATCCCACAGTCAAAGAACTTGTGCCGCTATTGAACAAATGCCTGCAAAGAGAATTATAGTGAAAAAGGATCTCTCTGATGCAGATAAAATGTTGGCAAACAGGTCAGTGCAATGTCACGAGGCATATTTTCATGGCTGTTTTAAAAACTGAAATTTTCAGGCCTGCATTGTTACTCTTGCTTCTACCCTGTTTTTTCCTTAGTATGTATGTTTTCCAGACTCCAAGGCCAGGGCTCTGTCCACTGAACCTCCTGCTCCAATTCCAAATTCCAAAGAGTGGAACTGTTCCTATTCCAAAGGAGCTTACATTCTGTTGGGGAGACAACTTGTACTTCTATGAGTACATATAGAATAAATGCAAAGTATATAAACTGGGTGAGGGGGAATTATAGTTGGAGGGATCAGGAAAGTTGTAGTCTAGGTACAGTGCTTCTTAAACTGTGAGTTGCAAAAAATTTGGCAACAGTAAAAGGTTTCTGAACACACAATGACCAAAAATTAATTCAAAATCAAACACACAATGGATCCAAGGTATTTCTGGCAGCGCTTGCCCACGTGTGGAACTTCACTGCAGCCTTGATTCTGAACACAAAGCATGTGCACTTTGCACTATGCCATGCCCTCAGGCCAAGCAGGGGCACTATGCCATGCCCTCAGGCCAAAGCTAGTAGAAAAAGTTTAAGAAGTCCTGGTCTAGAAGATGGTGCTTCAGCTGTACTATGAAGGAAGTTAGGGCTTCTCAAAAGCACAGGTGAAGAAGTGGTACATTCCAGGCATTGGAGATGGCTGGTTCAAGGGCATAGAGATGAGAGGTAGAATGCTATATATAAAGAAAAATATTAGTTTGGTTGGACCATAAAATGTGGAAATTTAGACTGTACCTGGGTTATGAATGGCTTTAAAAAAAAGTAAGACAAGGTTTTATGTTTTATCTCAAAGCAGTATGGACCCATTGGGATTTATCAAATAGTAGAGTTATATGGTCAGATCTTTTGACAAAGGAAAATACTCTGGCAGTTGTGGAGGCTGGTTTGGAGTGGGAAGAGACTAGAGGCAGGGACACTAATTAGGAGGCTATTATAATAGTCTTAAAAGTAGATGAGGGCCTGAACCAAGATGGTGGCTCTGGGAATAGAGAGGTGTATAAGATGTTGTGGAGGTAGAAATTATAGGATTTGGCAACTCATTAAATAGTGGAATGAGGAGTTTAAAGTAACTTTGAGGTGACAGAGGTTGTGCCTTTGATAAAAATAGGGGTATTTGGTAGAGGGCTAGGTTTTAGGGAAAAAAGTTGAGGTTTGGACATGTAGAGTTTGAGAAGTCTTTGGGACATCCTGTTTGAAATGTTCTATGAGAAACTGGTGATGTGAGATTTAAAGTTCAGAGGAGAGATTGGAGTTAGTTATATACACAGTAAGTCTATGAATCATATGCTGAGGTGAGGGTTTGGAGGGAGTGAATGCTGATGAGGTCACTAAATGAGAGAGTGAATAGAGAAGAGACATGGAGAATGCTCACCAGGTGCAGTGTGATCATTTAGCTAATTTTTAAAAGTTTCTCCCTCATGCACTCACCCATAAAACGAATACTGAATTCAGTAAACGTTTATTAAGTGAAATGTAAGCTCCCTCAATAGAATGTCGATTCCTTAAGGGTAGTTTTTTATTTTGTCTTTGTACCCCTGTAGCCTATTATAGTGCCTGCATGGAGTAGGTTGCTGCTTCTTAAATGATTGAATAAAGGCCTACTATGTGCACAGCACTGTGCCAGACTGTGAAGATGGAAAGATTAAAAAATGGGACAGTCCCTGTCATTCCATCTATTCAGCATTTATTAAATGTCTATTGTATACTATACTGATAGATACTAGAGATACAAAGAAAAAAATGAATACAGCCCTTCCCACAGTGCCTAGCACTTATTAAGTGCTTAATAATGATTTGTCTAGGGGCAGCTAGATGATGCAGTGGGGAGGACCTGAGTTCAAATCCAGCCTCAGACACATAACACTCACTAGCTGTGTGACTCAACTTAACCCCAGTTGCCTCACCAAAAAAAAAAAAAAATTTGTCTATCTTGTTTGTCTATCTATTTATGCATGAAGAGCTTACCTTTTATTGAGTAGAAAATGAAACTTGTAGGAATCTCGCAAGCAGGTACTTTTAAAAGCTTGTCATTATATGAGTCATTCCCCAGTTGATAGTCAAAGGATGTGAACAGGCAGTTTTCAAAAGAAGAAATCAAAGCTATCTATAGTCATATGAAAAAATACTCTCAATCACTATTGATTAGAGAAATAAAAATTAAAACAACTCTAAAGTCCCACCTTACCTATCAGGTTGGCTAATATTACAGAAAAGGAAAATAGCAGATGTTGGAGAGGATATGGAAAAATTGAGACACTAATGCATTGTTGGAATTGTAATCCAAGCATTCTGGAGAGCAATTCAGAGCTATGCCTAAAGAGCTATAAAACTGCATACCCTTTGACCCAGCAATAACACTACTAGGTCTGTATTCCAAAGAGATTAAAAAAAAAAAAAGACATTTATGTACAAAAACATTTAGAGCAGCTCTTTTTGTGGTGGCAAAGAGTTGGAAATTGAGGGGATGCCCATTAATTGGGGAATGGCTGAACAAGTTCTGTTGTATGATTGTGATGGAGTACAATTCTGCTATAAGAAATGAGGAGCAAGGTGGTGTTAGAAAAACCTGGAAAGAATTAAGTGAACTGATGCAAAGCGAATTGAGGAGAATCAGGAGAACATTGTACACAGCAATACTGTTACCACCTAGATGCCTGCAAAAACTGACCCCTAGCCACCTGTTCTCTGAAGGCTACTGTCTTTTGTGGTTAGGGATAGAATTTGGTACCATACAAGATAGGGAGTGATGACAGCAAAGGGTTAGACAGAGATTTCTAGGAAGATATGGTGGAGGAGATAGATGAGATTTTAATAGATGGGACTATAGAGAATATTGAAATATTCTTAATAAAAGGCTAATATTTTTGATATTTGGAAGTAGTATATGATGTTAGACTATAAACTTTGAAATTCACATGGAAAGACTATGTTAATGTAGCACTGTGGGTAGACTGAGGCTCTGTCTTTGAACATCAAGACATGGAAAAGTAAGGTTTTCTGTTAATTTTGTAAATTGTCTTTTGATCCTCCTCACACTGCTCTCTTTCATATATTCTATAATTTACTCAAACTAAAGTCTACTTGTTGTTCCTCTTTTTTACTTCCCTTCTTCCTTACTTCTTTTCTTTATTTATTCGGTCCTGAATTTCTGGAGTGGACTCATCGTCATTTCTGCCTTCTCTGTGAAGTCATCAATAATGGCAGCTGAAGTTACCCCTCCTTCTTCAAGTTTCTCATAAGACTTGGACCTCTTATTTACACTTAACATAACCTGATTTATAGTGGATACTTATGTACGTGTCAAATCTCCCATATTAGATTGTGAACTCTTTAAGGGTAAGGGCTAGGTCTTATTTCCTTGTTGAATCCCTACTACAGTGCCTTACGCATAGTAGGTCCTTAATAGATACAAGAATTTAATTTCTCATCTCATATATTATAATGACAGTGAAATTATTAAAATATTTTCTCTCTTATTTTGATTGCTATTTAAAATTTCTAATAGGTTGCATTAATATAAGTTTGTGGAAGAAATAGAATTGCGGATGGGAAACATGGCTATTGTGAATGTGGTATTCAGTATACATGTATATTTATAGACTGAAAACTTTGTGTGCAGTGCCTGGAAACACCATAGCTTGTTGTTATTAAAATGGGAAGTATAAAAGAAACTAATTTGCTAGACATTTTGTCTTTTTTTTTAATAGAATATATCTTTATTTTTTAGACTTAGTGAAATAAGAATATTGTTAAAGAAAACTAGCCACATGTTAAATTTAGCTTTTTTCTACTTTTTGAAATATTCAGTTGGAAAAATGGTATTTCTTAACTTGTTTTAGACATACCATTATGTTTGGTATTCCTATTATTCTTATGTATGTTTTGTCTTTTAAAGAGAAAGTGCTTTGGCATCTTCTGATCTTGAAGAGGAAGAAGAAGAAAAAATGCAAGCTAAACAGATGAAGAAAAGGAAAATATCTCAAGCCAATAATAATGACAAAACAGCAGGTGGTAAAATACTTGATAATTCAGATTATTCATTTGAAATAAATAAAAGAAAGAAGATTCAAGTCAGTGAGGCAGAGGAAAGAATAAAGAATAAGAGAACTGTATTTGTGGGAAATTTACCTGTCACCTGTAAAAAAAAGGTGAGTGAATATATGGATTGTAGAGATTTATAGTAGTTTATTTTATCACATCTGAAGGCAAAAAACAGTCTCTTGCCCTTCAGGAGTTCACATTCTAATTGAAGGGACAGCTTGCAATATCTATGTACAAACAAGATCTATGCAAAATAAATTGAAGATAATCTTTGAGGGAAAGCACTGGTTTTAAAGGGAGAAGTTTCCTGGAGAAGTTGGGATTTTAGCTGAGTCTTGAAAGAAACCAAGAGGTGAAGCAGAGGAGAGTATTCCAGGCATGGGGACAGCTAACAAAAAAAGCAGGGTTGAGAGATAAAGTATCTTGTCCAAGGAACAGCAAGGAGGCTGGTATCACTACACCATAGAGTATGTAGAGGATAATATAGGGTAAGAAGACTGGAAATGTAAGAAGAGCCAGGTTATGAAGGGCCTTAAAAGCCAAACTGATTTTATATTCAATACTGAGGGGTAGAGGAAGTCACTGGAGTTTATTATGTGGAGTGGAAGGGTTGACTTGGTCAGACTTGTGTTTTAGGAAGATGGTTTTGATAACTGAGTAGAGATGAACTGGAGTGGGGAGAAACTTGAGAAAGGGAAGACCAACCAGAAGGCCATTATTATAATGGTTCAGGTGAACAGTGATGCTGTGAAGTACAATATATACTCCAAATGCCAAGAGTTGGAATTAGGTTTAACGGTTGCACATACAGTATGGGTAAGGTTTTTTTGTTTCCCAACTAAATTCAGTAGCTGGAGTGGATGGACCATTTGCCCTTTGACTATTCCTTTGCTTGAAAATTAGTGATTAATATATAGTAGGCTAAATATTGTGGTTACATATGTGTGTTACATACTGATTTTTTAATGTGAAAATAGAATTGAGTGTTTTGTTTCATTTGTAGGAACTGAAGTCATTTTTTAAAGAGTATGGACAAATAGAATGTGTACGATTCCGTTCTTTGGTATGTTCCCATTTAAATACTATAATAGTTTTATTATGTATAAATCTCTTATTACCATAAAGATTGGTATAGTGGAAGTTTACTAAACTTATGCTTTCTGGATTGACCATCCAGTCCATCAAATCCAATCCATGATGTTGAGTGGCCTAACTTGTTATTACTATCTATTTGCTATCTATTTGTTTTTGTCTAAGTTAATGTCTTCGTTTTGTAGTAAATTGCTAGCTGTATTATTAAGGCTACCATTATACTTGACAGAAACTGTTACCTCTTGTCTACTGGCCATCCATTGACAAGGAAATATTAATGGATACTATTTTGTGTTCAGTGAAAGAATAAATAGAATTAAGACTTTTAATTTCATATAACTGTTTTCTTGCTTTCACCCTAAATGTCAGAATTATTCAAGGTTTTGTCCTTAGTCTGTCTGCACTGTCTTAGAGATGTTATGTATTTCTACAAATTCAACTCCTCTCTTGGAAGTGATTCACAAATCTTTGTTTCTTCGACCTCTGTGAAGTTCCTCACTTCTGCATTTCCAGCTGCTTGCTTATAGTTTCTACCAGTGTGTCCTGCCAGCACCTTAGACGCAACATGTTTAAAACTGAACTCACCATCTTCCCTTGTCCCCTTTCTCTCCAAACCGGTTTCTCCTTTTGACTTCCTTATTTCTTTTAATACCACCAGTCATGCAGGTTGCAAACCTCAGTTATATTTAACTCATCCCTACCCTCAAGCCATATAATACCTTGTTGATTCTGTCATCACAGTGTCTCTTGAATCATGCCCTTTCTTTCCTGCCACCACCTTAGTTTAGATCCTCATTACTCTTTGCCTAATCTGTTGCAAGAGCCTTCTAACTAGTCTCCCTATTTCCCATCTCCAGTCTGTTCTGCATACCACTGTGCAATTAATCTTCCTAAAGTACACCTTTGATTATGTCATTCCCTTTCTTAAAAAATCTTCTTTGGCTTCCCACTGCCTTCTAAAGAAGATCTGGGGGCAGCTAGGTGGCACAGTGGATAGGGCACCAGCCCTGGAGTCAGGAGGACCTGAGTTCAAATCCACTCTCCGACACATAACACCCACTAGCTGTGACCCTGGGCAAGTCACTTAACCCCAGATTGCCTTGCTAAAAAAAAAAAAAAAGATCTGAACTCCTGAGCCTGAGATTCAAGGCCCTTCACAGTCAAGCCTAAACTAACCCTTACACTATCATCACTCACTGTAAAAATCTTTTTTATTTGGTGAACATGACTCCTGAACATTCCTCAAATGTGACCTTCGTTTTCTTCCACATCATTGTTTAAGCCATTCTTTTCTCCTGTGATACTGTTTTCCTTTTTTAAAGTTTTGAAATCCTACCTATTCTTTAAAGCACAGTCCAAATACCACTTCTTCCATGAAGCTTTTTGCAGGGTAACCTCTCCTACGTGGAAATTTTATCTTCCTCTTCATTCATAATTAGCAAATGCATTGCCTATAGAAAGTGCTTAATAAATGTGGGTCTTTTAATGAATGAATCTGTGGCATTTCATTACATACTGCTTTGTACAATATTATGTTGTTAAGCCACTTTTCACTCGTGTCCAGTTCTCTGTGACCTCATTTGAAGTTTTCTTCGCAAAAATACTAGAATGGTTTGCCATTTTCTTCTGTAGTTCATTTTACAGATGAGGAAACTGAAGCAAACAGGGTTAAATGACTTGCCCATTGTCACACAGCTAGTAAGTGTCTGAGGTTAGATTTGAACTCATGAAGATGGGTATTCTCAATTCCAAGCCCAGTGCTCTATCGATTACACCCTAACTGCTCGTGTCTGTATATTTTATTTCCTGTCTGAAATAGAGCACTTAGTGCTTTGTATATAGAAGACACTAAGTGTTTTTGAATGAATTCATAAATAGCATTCAGTTCCTTCTCCAGTTTCATAATTATGTTCATAAAGTTTTCCAATTTTCTGGGGTTTTTTGGGTAAATAATAGTTCCTCCTTCAGTTAATAATATTTATGCCTTTTAAAAATAACAGAATTACTTCCCAGTATACTTCCTCTGCCATGAATCTTCCCTTACAACAAAGAAAAATGTAAATAAACCTCAAGCAAAAATGCATATACATCATTCCACACCCTTAGCTCTCCACCTTACTACTGAGGGGGGAAATGTATGTCTTCTGTTTTCCTTGGAATCAAGATTGATCACTTTAGTTATCTTGAAATTAGCAATGTTTTTCAGTTTTCATTTACATTGTTTCGCCACTTCTAAGTAGTTCTGGTTTGCAAAATAATTTGGCAGAAGCAGATCTAATTTACTACCTAAAATTGAGAATAATTATAAATTTTATGTTTGGCAAGTAAGTGTCTGTCATACAAGGTCAGGAAGGAGCCCAAAGACTCTCCTATACAGGAATTCTGTAGGCTCGTCCCTACGCAGAGCCGCAGTTGTACATTCGTATTTGTGGAGGAGACACTTCTGTTATAAGTTCTTATGTTACTTATCCTTAGACCAACTTTGCCAATTTCTTATGGAATATTTTTATCTGTCATTAAAAAAATTTGTAGTTTAGACTTGGTTGATATGTTAGTTTTGCCGAATTCCTTTTTTTTCTCTTTTTGCTTTGTTATAAGGCATAATTTTGGGTTGAGGGGAGGGATACATTGGGAAATGCAGGTAAATGCAAAAACAAAAGACATCAATAAAATTCCTGTTAAAATAGCATAAAACAATCCACAAATCCCTAAGAGATGAACTCCATGATAAGGGCAGCTTCATGCTTAAGGTTTTGTTTTTTTTTTTTAATGAAATTATTTGAAACTTTTGCTACTCATTTTATTTTTTTCTCTAGGAATATCTTCAATTATAGTGTAACAAATTTCATATTTTGGCTTTTTAATATAGGATAATGGGTAGACTTTGTTTGAAATTTTCTTTCTTTCCTGTATTTAAGATTGAAGAAATATTTTAAGACTCAACATTTTTTTTGTTTTAAAGATTCCAGCGAAGAGCACTTTATCCAAAAAGATTGCCGCAATAAAGTAAGTTAATTATTAAAGAAAAAGTCTGTAAGTTAAAGCCTTTCTGCCCTCTTTTCTTTAAAATTTTAAGTTGTTACTACCTAAGTTTTTATGTGTTGCTTTACCTAAGTTTTTGTGTATTGCTGTGTAATATTTGATTAATTTCCTTGTGTTGTAATAATGACATTTATTATTGAAATCCTTTAAAGTTTTTGAAGTATTTTTCATAATTATCGTATTTTAGTGTCATAGTAACCCTCTAAGGTATTAGTAACCTCATAGTAACCCTATAAGGTATACCTACAGGTATCATTATCTGCATTTTACGGATAGAGAAACTTAGGTGATCATTTGCATTTCCTTATGAATGAGTTACATCCCATAAATTTCTTAGGCAAGGTTGTTGTTTGTTTTTTTAATTCTGAGCCCTTTTTTTCCCCCAGAGAAACTGTGTTTACCACATAGTTCATTAGGTTTCCAAACTAGCCTTGAAAGTATATTTAACCTATGATATACCTGAAATTTAGAGCTTTACTAATCTTTGCTGAGATCTATAGTTTTTGTCTTGTTTTTAAGTGTTTTTCTTTATTGCTCATCGTTTTGTTGATTTGGATGGGGGGGCCCCACAGTAGCCCATGCTGTCTTCAGGAAAGTCTATTCTTAATTCTTTGTCTGACTTGTCATTTTTACTTAGAGGTCATAAACTTAGAAATATAGTTTGCCTTTATTGAATGTGATAGTCACATTCTGCCAATTCAGATACTCTTTTTTTAAGTTAATATTTTTCCCCAATTACACATAAAAACAATTTTAATATTCCTCTTTTCAAATTTTGAGTTCCAAATTCTCTCTTCCTCCCCCCCATTGGGAAAGAAAGCAGCCTGACATAGGTTATACATGTACAGTCATGCAAAACACATTTCTGTGTAAGTCACACTGTGAAGGAAACAGACCAACTCCCTCCTCTCCCCCCCCCCAAAAAAGTAAAGAAAAAGTATCTTGGATCAGATAGACTCTTGAGGTCTTTAAGTTTATCCCTTTAAACTTAGAATTTGGCTGCTCCAAGACAGTAACTATTTGTGTGAGTATTTGTCAGAGGGTTGTGGGAAGCTAAGTACATTTTGCCTCTTGTTTCTCTTTGATCCATATGTTACTAGACTCAGAGAACTATTGAGGGTAATGTACTTTAGTGCAGCTGTGCTGCCTTCTGGTTACAGGTTATTTCTGCTTCTGTAATGTTGATGCTTTCTGTCTTGTTAGTGAGTTGATGATTTTATTTGTGTTCCCTGTAACTAGCTATAGAGATGTCTCCATTCCTTCTCATCTGTGCCTTCTTACTTGTGTTCCTATTAAGTCCTTCATCATGCTGGAGAGGCTCCTCATTTCTTTCACTGCCTTGGAAGCACTGGGGCAGCATTTGGGATCCCCGCCTTGTCTTCCATTTTTGCTTACTGACTGGCCCACCCACCCATCCCTCTTGTCTTTGACCCCATTTTTCACTCGTATCATCAGTATTCAAGGGTATAGCTTGCTTGTGCCTATTGTCTTTTCATTGCTTTTCAAGTTGTCATTTTAATTCTGCCAATTATATGTAAAGTCTTACACTTGGGTAAAGTGTTACACTTGGATCTTTTAAAAAATCAGCTTCACAGATGCAGCCTTGTAGAGACATGACAATTCAAGCAGTGTGCTAGGGTAGCCAGAAAAGGTAATACAAGCATAGGCAACATTAAGAAAGGCTTGTAGTCCAAGAGTAAAGGTGTGGTAGCCATCTTTTACTCTGCTTTCATTTGACCACATTTGGAGACTGGGTTCAGTTCTAAGTGCTATATTTTAGGAATAACATTGATAAGCTAGATAGTATCTAGATGAGAGTTCCCTGTCCTTGGACAAGTCACTTATAACCTCCCTGAGCCCCAGTTTCCTTCATCAATATAGTATGAACTAGAAGGCCTCTGAGATCCTATGAAATTCAGATTTTTATCAGATGTGTTAGACTTAAAAAGATTTTTTCCCCCTTTCTTCAACTTCTCTTTATTCCAGCTATTGATTTAGTTTGTACAAAAGCCTTTTTTTTTTTTTTTGGATTGAAACTATTTTGTCTTTTATGGTCTCTATTGGTTTAGAATTTTAAATTTAATTTTAATTAGAATTTTAATTTAGAATTTTTCCCTAGCCATGGATCTGAAATGTATTACCATCAGTTCCCTAATTTCTTTACAATGCAATTTGTTACACTTGGGTCATGTGTCCTTTTGGAGTTTATTGTAGTGTAAGCTGCATGTCTAAGTCTATTTTCTTTCTAATTTTTTTAGTTTTCCAAGCATTTCTTTTAGGGAGGCCCACATATACACTAGGGTATAGTTGCATATTTGATTCTAGATTTTGTTTGTCTAGTCTGTCCCACTGATCTTCTCTGTTTTTGGATGAGCACCATATTGTTTTGATGACTATTGCAGCATGGTAAAAGCACTTCCCCCAATTTGATCTGGCTCATTGTCCAGCTGTAATGTTCATCCATTATATTCTTATTGTTCACTTAATTCAACAGGCTACCTTTAAAGCTATATCTAGCACTTAACACAGTGTCTGGCACATATTAGGTGCTTAATAAATATTAATTGACTAATACATTCATCTGGGTGTTGCATTTTTCATTCAGTGTGCATGGCTAGACTAATCTCTTGTATTGCTATGGGTTTTATTAAGGATTTTTCACTGTACTGGGGTATGGTGAAATTAATACAATGTCATTTGTGAATAAGAGCTTATTTGCTTGTTTTCATGTTTAAGTGAAATGGATCATTTAACAAAATTATCTCTATAGTCATATTTTTATATGGCAGACACTTGAGGAGAGCCATGATTCTATAAGATAAAGAGCTTTTTAAAAATCAATAAGCAATTGACATAGTGAAGTGTTAAATTCTTTATTCTTGGTTCTGAGTGTAAAGCTGGGGTGTGATATAGAAAATCATCTGTGAAAGAAAGGCTGTCTGGTCCCATTTATGTTTTCATCAAGGCTACCTTTCAATAGACAACAATCGTAGAAAAAATTTATAGTGATGAGAATACAGACATATTTGAGTTAGTAGTTGATGATGTCTTCTTTTGTGTCTCCCTCCTTCCAGCTTTTTTTTTTTGTAGAAGCACTGTCTTTAATCTTTTCTATTCTATTGAAATAGAATTCAACTCATATTCTATATCTAGCCAGTCCTTGGCCATGCTTCATATACCATCCAGTCATCCACTAGGAAACCAGGGCCTGTCTGGGCATTGTGCCACCTCTGCCTCTTCTCTCTCCCCACCCTCCCTTCCTAACACTCTGGAGACTGTAATCACATCAATATTACCCCTGATACAGGGAAGGACATAAGAATCAATTACCTTTTGGCTCCACTATTGCATTTCCCTATGACTTGAGTACCACAAACTCTTCTCTGGCCATTGCTCCCCTATCCATGTTGTCATTTTCTATTAGAATATTGTAAGCTTCTGGAAGCCAGGAACTAATTCTTATTTGCATTTGTATCCTTAGTGCCTAACACTGTCACATGATAGGTGCTTTTTTATTTTTTCATTCCTTAGATTCTTCTCAATGAAAATTGATCTTGGAATGCCTTGAAATCTTGTCACCTCTGTTACAGATTTCTTCTTTGTATTCAGTCAGGTCCAGCAATTGTTTTCAACTTAATTTGCTTAAATGTCATACCTGTTGTTATTCTAGGCTTTTATTACAAATCTGTCCACCTTACCAGGTGTAGAAGTGAATCTCACCAATTTTAAATTCCAATGTCCTGGAACTCTCCCATAGACGAGAGTCACAGATACAATTTACCAGTTTTCTGGTACAGTAGCTATTTGTAAGGACAGGTTATCTGTTTAAATTATTGTCCCACAAGTTGTCCCACAATTTGAATAGTCTCTTTGTATTCATTTTTACATATTTATATAAAGAAACAATTTATTTTGGGAATAGTTGTTTATTGAGTGTTGACCAAGGGTAAGGAATAGGAGCATGTACATGTATTTGTATTTTACAAAGTAAAAAAAAAATTCCATAATCACTTTTTTTTTTTAAAGACGTGAAGTTCATCCTGAACAGAAGAGTATTAATGGTTATGTTGTTTTTAAGGAAGAGAGTGCTGCTGAAAAGGCCTTGAAAAGGTAATTTTATCTTTTGATCTGTTACCTCTGAAGTAAAATCTTGTTTTTTCTTTTGTCATTCTTAGACAATCTTTGTCATTTGTTCTTCATTTCTTTTTCATAACCATCTTTCTCACATCTTTAATAGAAATGGTGCTCTGATTGCAGACGGATTTCCCATCAGAGTTGAACTTATATCTGACACTCCTTTGGTAAGTTAAGATTGTATTTTTAAAATTGCTGAATTCTATTTAACATACTTTTTAAAAGTGACATTTAGAGGAAGGCACAAAATGACACAGGTATTTTGTCTTGACGTTGGTCTCCATTACAGAGTTGTAGTGGTGCTAGAAGTGCTTTCTAGTTACATGAGCAGAACTTTATCATTCAGTACTAGTCCTGGTTATATAGATATCTCCCTTGATTTTATTTCTGGCTTTTATATTTTTCCCCTCATTACCATATTAAACTCAAATTTTTGTTTCAGAGGGGCAAGAGATCAGTGTTTGTGGGGAACCTCCCTTACAGTAAGTTTTTTTTTTTTACAACTGTTCAAGTAAACATTCTATCTTTAGAATAATTAAGAATAAAATTAAAATAAAAATTAGGTTTTTTAAAATAAATATTGACTAAATTTCTGATTTAAAATTGACTTATAATGAAAAAATGTTAACTTATAGGAAAATGTACTAAAATAAATTTGTTTTAGATATCCTTTGAAAAATTTTTTTTAATGTAATAAATTCTTAACCTGTTTCATTGAATTTGCTTGCAGAAATTGAAGAGGCTGCTATTCAAGAGCACTTCTCTGACTGTGGAAGCGTTTTAGCAGTAAAAATTGTGAGAAACAAAGTTACTGGTGTTGGCAAAGGGTGTGGCTATGTGCTCTTTGAGGTATGAAGATTAATGCGTTAAAGATATTTGAAGATTAGCTAAAAGAAAATAATACTGAGTTAGTGCTCAGCCTTATATTGTTAAATCTCCATTCTCAAATTCTGTATTAGGAAAAAATAATACAGTTCAAACCCCATTATAACAAGGACCAATACAACAAATACTTTTCTGACAAAAAAATTTCCTAGTAATGTTTAATAAGTCTACCTCTGACAATACTTATTTTTATCATGTTTTAAAATTTTAAAAAGTGTGAATTTATGGCTCAGTTTTCCATTTTGAAAACTGGAAATACAACTTTGTATTGGCTTATATTATAAGTAAGCTTTGGGCTTCAAACAAAATAGGTGATCTACAACTACACTGTATCAGAAGATTACAGAACTGGAAGGGACTTGGAAGGCATTGTAACACAACTGTCCCTTATTTTATAGAGCAAACTGAAGCCTGGTGACTTAAGGCCACACAACCATTATAGTATTCTTCTAGACACTTTGGTGTCTGCCTTGTTATTTTTAGATTCTCCTCCTGCTGCATCTATGGGGTGGGATTTTAGGGGTGGCCAGAAAAAACAAACTAAAGGATTCTGTGGCCTTACAAATGAAAAGTAACTGCTCTAATACATTAAAATTATTTATTTGGTTTCTGTGCACAAGTATAGTTTAGCATGAAATCTTGTTTGGTAGTAATTAATCTTTGAATTATTTCCTCAGAATACTGATGCTGTACAACTTGCTTTGAGATTAAACAACTCTGAATTAATGGGAAGAAAACTACGGGTCAAGCGTTATGTTAATAATGAAAAGATTAAACCATCACATACTACAGGCAGAGTTTTGGAGAATTCCACCAAATTTAAGCACAAACTTAATTTTCCTCCTAAAAACACAGGACAGCATTCCGAAAATACATTTGCTGGAGAAAAAGCTAATCCCTTGAAAAAGAAAAAGAAATGGCAGAAAAGTGGAAAAATTAAAAAGCAAATGGAAAAACACAAATAGAGTCAGTCTGAGACTTTTTTACTTGTTGGATAATTTGCTAATAAAATTGTGTTTTATTTAATGAATTCGAGAACTGTTCATTTATAAATAAGGTATGGACATCTGGACAACAAGCAGAATATTTTAATATTTAACATAGAGTTAGCTCCTCAAAAGGAAGGGCTGTGATTGAATATAGCATTTATTTCTATCATGTTAAGTGATATTTTTCTAGTTGCTTGCTTTTTCAGTGTTCTTTCCAGCATAATGTTCTACATATTTTTTTTGACATGCATCTGTTATTTTATTTGTGTAGGGAGCTCCCCAAAGTAGACACTTTCACAACTGATAGGGATTGGCAATTCCTGAAACTTCAAAAGTCTTAAAATGTTCCCTGGGGGGCCTGGAGGTTTCAGTTACTTAGCATACTCACACAGCTAGTATATGTCAGAAGTTGTGATCTTTCTGACTCTAGAACTGTTATTCTAATCCTGTAGCCACTCATATGTTCTGCATAGGAGACACTTGATTTGGATGACCTTGAAAAATGAGCTAGCTAATGTTTAATAACCCAAATATTAGAAATTGTACTTTCTTATTCATTAAAAACAATAATAGAATATTATTGAAATTGGCTAAAAAGCAAATGTTATAGTTACCACAGTGATTGGCACTATATAAATGCTGGTTGATTAGCTAATATTAGAGATGGTTCCTATGGGGAAAATTTGTCGAGTTTAATAAAAATCATACTTTAGAATACCACAAATCTTTTGAAAACCACAAACCTTTTGAAATCACATGCTTATGGGTTAAGTGACTTTCTTAACACAATATTTACTCATTAAAAAACATAACTATCCGCATTCCTTTTTCTTGTAACAATCATGTGAAGCAGAAATGCATTTATGACCATCATCATGAATGAGGAAATTGATGTTAAAATCTGAGTTTCTGGCTTACTCATAATCACACAGCTAGTGAGTTGGTTTCAAGCTGAGTCAGGATTCAAAGCCAGATCTTCTTGTCTAGTGTTTTCTTCATGATAACATGCACAGTAGCAGTTAATTTATATTATAAAAAGTATTGCATGGCAACTTTTAAAAATGCCACACCAGTTTGCTGTATTCCCTTTGATGACAGATCTTGAGTCCTGTACGGTTGCTGACCTTTAAGTGGAACCAAAAACTCTTTGATCACTAAGTTGTAACCAGCTAGATAGAAGCCAAAGTAAAAGAACTTGAGATAATATTTCAAATGAGATAAATGTAAAATGCTTAGCACAGTGCTTGGCACATAATAAGCCCTATGTAAATGTTAGCAATTGTTGACCATTATAGAAGGGATCCTTGTTCAGGTGTGGCCTCAGGTGTACTTCAACACAGATTTTGTGATACTTTTGGTAGTAGATATGTTTGTATACAATCATGGTACAGCATTTGTAGTGGTGCAGCAGCATGGTATGGTAAATGAGCTCTGGACTTGGGAGTCAGAAAGATCTGGGTTCAGATCCTTACCAAAGCACTTTATGACACTGATTAAGTTACTTAACCTCTTTGGGCTTCAGTTTCATCATCTGTAAAAAGGACTTGACCTCTAAGGTTCCTTTGAGCTCTAAATCTATCGTCCTATGAGAGTTTGCCATGGATAGGATGATTAGACATCTTAAGATGTGCATGAGAGTCTCTGCACTTAGAAGTCAACAAGTGGATGAATTAGAGTAATGAAGAATCCCTATACAACACACAACCTTCGAAAGGGAGAACAATTTTCTTACTTCCACAGAGGAAGAGGCAATTATCAGAGCTATGATCTACTGAATAATATCAACTTCATTTCCATAGTGCTTGCTTTAAAGGATACAAAATGCTTTCCTCATAACCCTATATTGATTGAATGGGAAGATATGTGAAGCAGGGAGCAAGATTAGGAAGCTATTGCAATAATCCCAAGTGAAAGATGATGAAGGCTTGAACTAAGGGGGTGGGGAGTGGCTATGTGAATAGAGAAATGGATATGAAGGATGTGGGGGTAGAATCAAGATTGGGCAACAGTTTACATATGTGATGGGAGGAAGAGTTAGGAGTCAAAGACAGTGGTAAACTTAAGACTGTAGGCGGCGAAGAATGATGATACCATTCACCAGGGGTGGGGAACTTGTAGCCTCCAGACCACATGTGGCCCTCTGGATCCTCAAGTGCAGCCCTCTGACTGAATCACTTAGATGACTAATCACTGAAAAAGTAAATCAGTTAAAGGGCTGCACTGAGGACCCAGAGGGCCACATGTGGCCTGGAGGCCAAAGGTTCCCCACCCCTGCCCTTGACAGATAAGTTTGGAAGAGTAGGTTGGGGAGAAATATGAGTTCAGTTTTTGACATTGACTTTGAGATAGCTATGGGACATTTAGTTGAAAATGTCTAGTAGTTAGTTGGTGATAAGAGGACTGGAGCTCCATAGAAACTGAACCTGAATATACAGGTCTGGAAGTCATCTGTATGGAAATGCTAATGTGCTCTATGGAAGCCAATGAAGTTAATTGATAGTATAGATAGTGACAGCTAGTTGGCCCAGGGGATAGAACACTGGACCTGAAGTCATGAAGTCCTGAGTTCAAATATGGCCTCAGACACCAGTTGGGCAAGTCACTTAACCTGTCTGCCTCAGTTTCCTCATTTATAAAATGGAGATAATAATAGCACCTGTCTTCTAGGGTGTTTGTGAGAATAAAATGAGAATATTTGTAAAGCACTTTGCAAACCTTAAATTACATAAATGCTAGTTATTAATATTATTATTATGACAAGAGGATCTGGGACAGAACCTTGGATTATATCTACAGTTAGAAGTCATGACATGGATGATGATCCAGAAAAAGAGACCAAGGAGTGGTCAGAAATTTTGGGGCATCAAGAAAAAGCAATGTCATGAAAACCCTAAGAGGGAAGAATATTTAGGAGGAGAAGGTGGTCAACAGTGTCAAATGCTGCAGAGATTTCAAGAAGGTTGAAGATTAAAAAGCCATTAGATGTGGTAGTTAAGAGATCATTTCTAACTTTGGAGAGAGCACTTTTAGTTGAGTGAAAAGAGTAGGAGGAAGCCAGATTATAGGGGGTTGAAAAGCTGGTAAAAGAAGCAGAAATGGAGACAATGCATGTAAATAGCTTTCATTCGGAGTTTAACAGAAAGGAAAGAGAGATGAAAATGATAGAGGGATTGGTAGGATCTTGTAAGGTTTTTGGAGAATGGTGGAGACTTGAGTGTGTCTCTGAGCAGTATGGAAAGAACAAATAAATAGGGAGAAGTAGAAGACTAGAGAGACAGATGGGATAATTGTGAGGGCAGTCACCTGGAGAAGACAAAAAGGACAGAATCAAAGTTATACCTGGAGGAATTGACATTGGTGAAAAGTGGCTTCCAACTAGAAGAGGAGAAAAGGAGAGTCAAGAATAACAAGGGGTTTTGAGTTGTAGAGAAAGACAAGCTCATGGCAAATGGTCTCTATTTTCTCAGTCAAGTATGAGACAAATTTCTTGGAGTGGAGGTGGTGCTTAAGGAGAGGAACAGGTTTAGAATAGATGCTGTGGGGACTGGGATTGAGAATCTGTAAGTAAGAACATGAAAAATTAGATAATAAATGTATATTGGACTCAGCTGGCTTATTTGCCTGATTTCCTCCACTCTGTTGAGCAGTACACGGGTAGAAGTGGTCCATAGTTGAGATTTAGCAAAACATGAGCATCACAATAACGAGGGGGCAAGGAAGAGGATGGTGTAGATTTGAATTACAATTACAGTGTAAACCCCTTAAACTATAGGATCAAGATTAAGAGAAGGAGGAAGGAAGGAAACAAGCATTTTAAAGTACCTATGCTTTGTATACCTGGAGGGGAAGTATATGAAAATGCAGCTAGTGATGGTGGTGACCAGGGGTGCAGTGTCATTTGGAGAATTATAAACTCTCTGAGGGTAGGGACCATTGTCATATGGCTCTTTAGTGTAGTCTATAGCATTAACTTGTGGTAGTACTTTTGTAACTCAAGTCAGAATGGAGGCAAGGGGAATCCCTCCCCTCCAAAAAACAAAAACAATTTGTAGAGACTTCTTTTGTCCTTGTGATTGCAAATATTAATTTAGAAACAGACTTTTGTTTGAAACTAGGGCATGGGATTGTGAAGCTAGATTCCCTAGGTTTAAGAGTAAATTAGAATTTAATTTAATCAGCATACATTAAGCATTCAAGGAGGTGCCATGGACATAGATATAAAACAGTTCCTGCCTATAAGGAGATTATTATATTGCGCTAGGGGTCCACCAGGTGAAAAGGTGGTACTAGCAGATGTAACATGTATATATGTAAGTGGTAATCTGAACAGGGAAACAGAGCTTGTGCCTGGGGAAAAGGTGGTAATTTAGAGAAAAAATAGAACCTGAGTGAATTTGGAAAGACAGTTATCAGTGTGGTGTAGTGGAAAGAGACTTTGGTATCACAGGAACGTGGGTTCCAATCCTAGCTCTCCCATTTAGTGCTAGAGTAACCTGGAGCTTCCATTCCCTAGAGTAGCCACCTCTCAGGGCCGGTTCCTCATCTGTAAAGAGAAGGGCTTAGATAGTCTCTACTGATGCCCTTAAATTCTAGCAGAGTCTATGATTTCTGAAAATTATGAGAATCAAAGAAGTGGAAATACCTTAGGGCAGAGGCATCAAACATAGGTCACATGGTCACACAACACCCCTAGTACAAGCCCAAACCAGATGAAAATGTAATTTTGATTTGACAAATGTGACAAAAAAATTTAATAAAACAGATTATCTTAATACATGGTTTTCTAAGTCAATATGTGACTGACAGGGATCCTTATTTATGGTTTAGTAGCCCTGCTTCTATTTTGAGCCCTACATTAGATGCATGGGAGACATAGAGCATGTGAATGAAGGCAGAATAGATAAAGGAGAGTGATATGGCACAAATCTGAAATGTGAAATAAGTTGGAGCTAAACTGTGGAAGGTCTTGAGGACCACAGATGTAGAGCTCTCAGGGAACTAATTTACAGATGGGTGAGGCCCAGAGAAGTTATGACTCGCCCTTATCGGAGGTGAGATGTTTAAATTAACTGACAGTCCAGTGCTAGCCTGGCACTAAAGGTAGCGCGGCCTCCGACGTCAGGGAGAAAGCCAGAGTCTATACAGGGTGGGCGGGGTCGGGAGGTCATTTCAATGCCAGCCTGGGCTGCCCAGGGCGTAGCGTTCCCTAGTGATCCCCTCAAGTGCCTGCCCTCGTTAAGCGCGTATATCTGCTCCAGAAAACACTGCCATTCATTCATTTAGTAAACGTTTATCTAGAGTTACCTAAATGCAAGGCAAAGAAGCGCTTTATTTACCAGCTGCAGCATCTCCCGCTCCGGCTACAGCTCGGACTTTGTCCCACGTCGTAGGGCCGAGTTCCGCCGCGCATGCGCGGGACAGATAATGTAGCCCTTTTCTCCTCAGGCTCTGCCCTAGACGTCTAGGGAACGTCGCTCTTTTATGACGTCAGAGCGGAAGTGGGGCGCCGAAGGGTCCTTCCCCGTCCCCTTTCTCTGTCTCCGCCCTCAACGGGAGCGGAGCGAGCCTACTCTCCTGGCTTGGGGGTCAGCGGGGGACGGCGCCGCTGCTGCTACCTCCACCGCGAGCAGCAGCTGGAAACATGGTGGGCCGGAGTGGCGCGATCGCCGCCGGCGTGTGCGGGGCCCTCTTCATCGGCTACTGTATTTACTTTGACCGCAAGAGACGGAGCGACCCCAACTTCAAGAACAGGCTCCGAGAGCGTGAGTGGGTCCCCGCCCCCCTCCTACCGCCAGGTCCTCGGTTCGCACGCCCTCCTGCCCCCCACCCCCCAGCTCCGCGCCTCGCGTTTGCTTCCCCAAACTCGTTTGCCGTGCGGGCGCGCGCTCCAGTGCTCTCCGCAGCCCCACGCACACCCCAGTTAACGGGCGCCGCGCGCGTGGCCCTGGCCTGCCTTCCGCGCACGTGCTTCTTCGGGGCCTCCGCGGCGGGGGGCGTGCGCTCCACGATCACCCCTACCCCGGAGCCTGTCCTTCCCTGCTCTGGGATCCCTCCTGCCCACTTTCTGGAGTGGGGCCCGTGCCCTTCTACCGAGGCTGCGACCTGGGCGTGGGGTGGGCGCAGTGGAGGGAAGTGGGCCGCCGAGGTCAAGGCTACTATGGGCGTTTGCCTTTGAAAGACAAGGCGGCTTCCTTGCCGGGCTTGCTGGAACTCGGAGGGACCCACGTGCGTGGGTGGGGCGAAGGCGTGGAGTGGGTTAAGCCTCGGTCGGGGGCGGGGAGGGAGGGGTCTGAGCTTATCTTTCCAGCCTTCAATCATCCCTTTTGAAAGGTTAGAATTTTTTCGAGTCTCTCGTTTCTTTGCCCCTCTAGGCAGTATAGACTGGAGTTGCCTTTGGTTTTCAGGCCTCTTGTCGATTTTTGTTTTTTTTTCACCCCTATTTCTTTACTTGGTCAACCCAGGTGATTTTTGCCCTCGTTTCTCCCAGTAGCCCTGAGGCCTAGCACAGCCAAGCATTTCTGCAGGTAATGTGGGAGCTGAGTAGGAGGTTCAGGAATGCGCTAGTGTCCAACAGCATTCTTAAACCCTCTTGGCAGCATTGCTGAAGACGCTTCCAAGATATGAGTGAATGCGACAGAAAATTGAAGATTAATCCAAAATGCTAAGTATTTTCTTCTGACTTGGCATTATTTCACATCTGACAATTTTTAGAGATGATGGTATGTTTGCTAGTCGGATTTAATTTGGGGGCTTCTGCGCCCATGGGTGGACCAGATTTGTTTGCAAGTAATATTGAACGTGACTTTTTTTTTTTTTTCTCATTTAAAACTGTCTCAAAGGTGTTTTAAGTGTAAAGTTGATGAGATCATTCAACTTCATTCATTTGGTAGGAATGTGAGTCATTGAATCATGGCAGTGGTAGACAATTTTGAAAGATCATAATTTGTTTGCAACTTCTAGGGCAGGATTGATTTCCCTTTGTGAAGATGAGGGCAGCTATTTTGCATGTTTAATTCTTCTCTATAATCTCCCCCCCCCCCCCAAAAAAAGCCGGCAACTTCTCAGGCACATTTGTTAGCACTTTGGGGGGGGGGGGCTTGGTAGATTTGCTGTTGTTTCCATAGGTTGAAGATTTGTCGAAAACTTCTTGGCCCATAATAAGAAGCTTCATTTGGTTCTGGGTATAATCTTTTAAGTTTTCATGTAAAAAATAGCTTTTCAGTGCTTTAAAACCTTTGAATTATTAGTGGTTAAAAGGACCTTCTACAGACATCTTTTTTCACTTGCTAAATTACTGGAGTTCATGTGTACAAGATTTTCTGCTCTAGTTGTTCTAAAACTAGGAGAGTAAACTTACCACATTGAAACAAGTTGAGAAATAGCCACTTTCACTTTTTGAATTCTTTGAACTGAAAACAGAAGTCTTGACCACCTCCATCCCCCTCCCCCAAAAAAGCTTCATTTGCCTTTTTTTTTAATTAACATTCTATATACCTCGTTTCTGAAAAGGTAATCCCCTTCTAGCAAAGATTTAAATAATAATAGCAGCTAACTTTTATGTATTACTTTAGGTTTGCAAAGACACTTTTTGCACATGGTATCTCATTTGCACCACACAACAACCCTACCGGATGGGTGCTATTATTATCTTCATTTTACTGATAAGAAAACTGAGGCTGAAAGAGGCTAAATGTTTTTCAATGGTCACACACCCATTTGAGGCAGGATTTGAACTCCTTTCCAAACACCAAATTCTGCACTCTGTCCCCTTATTACCTAGCAACCTATAATTAAAAAGACAAAGGTGGGGATGGGGGGGAAGGGGAGTAGGAGAAGTGGTTCAGCAAAATCATCCAAATCTTATAGTATATAATAATAGCTAACAATTATATAGTGCTTACTATGTGCTGGGCACTGTGCTAAATCCCCTGACTTTGCCTTTTTGCACCTCTTCCCCTGGGCCAAGTAAAGACTACATACAGACTTTTGTGTAAATGGTAGAGAAAAGGTAATTTTGAATTTTGTAAAGTTAGAGTAAGGAGGGACTTTAAGAGATCCAGTACTCTCATTTTAGATCTGGGGAATGTGAGGCCTAGAAAAGTTAAAGAGACTTGGCCAAAATCTACAGTTAATTAGAACTAGAACCCAAATCTCTTGAGTCCAGTGTCCCTAGCTGTCTGCCCTACCCTTATCATTCTCCTGAATTGAAGAACACCAATGATTTGATTAACTAATTCAGTGCCCTTTTTCCCCCTTTTTAGTTTTTGACACCATTGAGTCTTGGGTGATACTACATTCCCTTGATTATCTTCTGTTCTCTTTAATGACTTTACTGGCTCTTCATTCTTTTCTGTATCCCCTTAATGTGTTTATTCTCCAAACCACTGTCATTGGTTGTCTTCTCTGTCTATGCTGTCCTGAAATCTTTGACTCTCATGGCTTCAGTTATCACCTCAGTGAGGTTAACTCCAAATCTAAATCCTCAGTCCTGATCTCCAGACCCTCATCTCCAAACTGCCTATAGAATATCTCCATTTGAATGTCTTCCTGGTACTTCAAATTCAATATATACATAATTTAGTTTATAATATTTACCCCCCTGAATCCGCCCTTATTTCTCACCTTGTTTCTTTTGTGTTACCGCCCTTCACTAAGTCTCCCATATTTGAAATCTGGGATTATCTTTGTCTTTGTACTATTTTTCATCTCTCATACACAGTTAACCAAATTCAGTGGATCTTGAAAGGTACCATCTTGTCTGTTTCCATTGCCACCACTGTAGTACAGGCCCTCATTACCACCTGCCTATTGGCAGTAGTGTTGTAATAGAGTTTTTCTGTCTACTCTCCCCATTCCAATTGATCTTTCATACCACTTATAATTTTTATGCATAACTATAGTTTTGTCACTGTCTCCAACTCTTCAGTGTCACCTCATTGCCTTTCAGGTAAAATGAAAACTCCATTGTCTTTTGAACCCTGCTCCCCTGCTTTCCCCCAATCTAGAACCACACTACCTTTCCTGCCTCAGTTCACCTTATTCTTCAGATGTTTCAGCCAAACCAGGATAGTTTTGGCTTTCTAACATACACCGCATGTTCTTGCCTCCATTCTATTCATTTCAACAGCTCACATGTAGTGTTGGTAGTGAGGTTACAAAATCACAGAAGAAATAGTCCCTGAACTTGAGTGTTTATAACCTAAAGATTTAAAAACTTAAGTTGAGGAAAGGCTGGACATTGGTAGAATGTTTTCCACCCTTTGTCCCCTTTTGAAGTCCTTTCTGCTTTAAGGCTGTCACCTCGTTTTCCTTAGGGAATGCCCTAATAAAGGTAGTGGTGGGCACCTTGAAGAAACAGAAGGATTTTTTTTACATGAAATAACTGAACAAAGGCCAGAGAAGAAGGGAAGGAAAATGAAAGGGAGTAAGCGTTTATAGATCACATACTGTGTTCCAAGCACTGTGTTAAATGCTTTACCAATATCATCTCATTTGATCCTCATAATGCCTCTGTAAGGTGGGTGCTGCTGTTACCTCTATTTTACAGTTGTGGAAACTGAAGCAAACAGATTAAGTGACTTGTCCAGGGTCACACAGGGTAAGTGTCTGAGATTGGATTTGAACTCTGGGCATCCTGGCTCCGGGCCCAGTATTGTAGTCACTGTACCACTGCCTAGTTAATTAGATACTAAGGCAGTTAGAGTTAATGGTTGTGCTACAGAATTTTAGTTGACTTCTTTTAAAAAATAGTAAGATTTTGAAGTTAAACATCTTATGAGAAATACTTTCATTTTTTAAAGGGGCAGAATTGTGTATATACCATGGGAGAGAAAAGCCATTGCCATAATTTTAAATCTAAGATACTTCTTTTCTAAGTTTGGAAATTTGGAGTAGTCATGCTTCATTTTTACCTAAGATGTTTTATTTATGAGATAACTTTGCCATCTACTGGCAGTTGTAAAAATGAGACAAGCCATTTTAAACAATCATTATTTTCCAAGGTAAAACTTGTTTTAGGAGGGATAACTGGATTGTGTAAGCCTCATTATTTCTGATACTTACATTACATCATTTGGTCTAAGTATAGCGTGTTGGAAAGATCCCTTGTTTTTGTAGTCAGAGGCCTACGATTATTTAAATCTTGGCTCTGCTGTTTACTGCATGACTTAGGGTGTGACATCTCTGGGTTTCATTTTCCTCATCTATAAAATAAAGACAATGGACTAGGTAATAAAAATCTTTTTCACATCTAAATCCTGAGTGTGTATTCCTGTGGTCCTATGGCTGAGATCAAAGGTGTGCAGACACCTAAAATTAGTCATTTTAGATTGTATTGTTGATAAAAAAGTTGCAGTTGAGGAAATTGGCAAATAGAGTTTATAGTTTGTTTAGCTAGCCTCATTAATATGTTAACGTAAACATTTGTGTTGACTTTAGACAGGCATTGTTCAAATTCATTGTATCGGTAAATTTGCCTGCTTAGAGTAATCATTACCTAATGACCTTCTTCTGAGCTTTGCTACATGGGAGTTTGTCACTTTATTGAATTATTTGAATATTTTCAAATTGTGTAAATTGAATCATTTAGAGCTAACTAGATGGTATAATGGATAGATTGCTGGACCTGGAGTTAGGAAGACTTGGCTTCTAATTTTGTCCTCAGAAATTTTCAGGTTCTGTGTTCCTTGGCAAGTCAGCCTCTGTCAGCCTCAGTTTCCTAATCTAAAAAGTGGGGACAATAGTAGCCACTTAACGGCACTGTTGTGATGCTCAAATGAGATGATATGTGTAAAGCTTTGTTAGCCCTAGAACAATGTTAGCTGTTCGTGTTATTCAATTAATTGGAGGCATCCAGTTCAGCCAGTGTTCACATTTTTATCTACTTTTTATCTACACTGTAGTAAATTTGTAATGTGAATCATTCCAATTTTAGCTGTTTCATCATAAGTTCAAATTTTCATATACATTAACATTCTTGAAACACTTTAATTTTGTAGAGCCATACACGGGGTAAATACCCCTTGGCTAAGAGGATCCAAAGATATATCTAAAGCTGTAAGAGGCCGTCTAGGTCAGCTCCGTCATCCTAGAGATGAGAAGAAAACTGAGGTCCAGGGAGATTAGATGACTTGACTAAATTACTTGACGTATTTTATAAGGTTAAGAGGCAGGTACTTTGACTTCAGGACCACTGCTCTTTGTCCTTTACTATCCTGCATCTGAGTTTTGATCTTGGCTGCAATGACTAAGCATGTAACTTAGGTATTCATTCCTGGTTTTTCAGTTTGTTAACATTTGTCTCTACCTAGAGGTACATTATGATAGAATATTTGAAAGTAATGTAACAATTTCAAATTGTATTAATTAGCACCTCCTTAATGTGCCAGGCAGGGGTATTCAGAGACAAATGAAACAATCCTTGCTTCCTAAGAGCTTATATTCCAATAGGGGAAGACATGGATATATATTAGTATATATAAAATAAATACAAAGTAATGAGTGGAGGTGGGGCACTAGCAGCTGGTGGGACTCATAGAAAGTGATCCTTAAAGTGAGTTCTGAAGAAAATTTGAGATCCTGAGAGTCAGAAGTGAGGAAGGAGGCATGAAGAGCAGCCAATGCAAAGTCACAAACAGGAGATGGGAGTATTATATGTGAGGAACAGCAAGAAGGCCAGCTTGGCAGGATTTGTGGAGGATGTTAAGGAAATTAATGAATAATAGGGCTATAAAAGTAGGTTGGAGTTAGGTTGTTGACTTTAAATGCCAAAGGAGTTTATATTTGATCTTAGCATAATAGAAAGCCACTGGAGTTTTCTATTTATCTTAATATTTCCTTATATATTGAAGCCAGAATTTTTATTTTTAAAAATTTGAAATAAGTCAAGGGTAGAAAGAAGTATAATAGAACATTTTTATTAATAGTCGATTAAAAGCAGCTTCTTCTCCATTTCCCAAACCCAGATAACCCACCAAAATTTCATGTTATGCAGTTACAGGAACCAGAGACACTGGGATTTAAGTTTCATTCTAATGGGCTTTTACACTGCCTTGTCTATTCAATTAAAAGTAGCGTCTGTTGGTCCAAGTAACCTTATTTTGTAGTTCTGCAAAAAATCATCATGTTTATTTTTGCTTCTTTGACTTTGAATAGTCTATCAAATATGCTAGTTTTTGCCTCCCCAACTAGATTGAGTTATCAGATCTTATATCTACTATTAAATACTACTAGGTATTACACCTACTACTAAATAGATAATAGCTTATCTATTTACTACTCTTTCAAGTTAGTCTCGGGGTCAGTCTTACTGTGATGTTGGTAACCTCTTAATATAACCTTTGCATAACTAATTATATTACTTTTCTTAGGTTAATATTGCTTTGGGCATTATCAAATGATATTTAAACCTGTTTAGTGTCTATGTGTCAGTTTTGTTGAATATGGTATATGTTACTCACTATATACTGTAGTTACATCTTGATTTTATGGCTGGTATAGGTCAAAGAAAGAAGAGAATTCTATAGAATATATTCATAGAGACATACATCTTAGCTCAAGAACATAATCATTCTCTGTGATCTTTAATATTGGTTTAAAAGAACATATGAGTTAAAGTAATACCTCAAATTAATAGAACAGTAAAATTATTTCATATTATGTTACACTCTTTGATCTTAACCTTGTAAGGTAGGTTTTTGCAGATCTTAGCCTCGTTTTACAAATGAGGAGACTGAGGCTTTAAGTAACAGATTATACCTTTAAACATTCAACCGCTACTATTTAATCACTATTTTCATTGATCGTAAAGTGAATGTGTATTAAATCTGTTGCAGGAAGAAAGAAACAGAAGCTTGCTAAAGAGAGAGCTGGGCTTTCCAAGGTAATGACAATAATCTGTACTTATACAGACTATGTTATGTAAAAATGTATTAAAATAGACTTTAAAATCCATTTAAATGTATCTATTTTTTAGAAATGGAAACATTTCAAGGTATTGTATGTAAAATTTTTCATAGTAATATCAAGGTATAGTTTGATGTTTAGATACAGTTATTTCAGTCATTTAAAGACTGAACTGAAACCACAAGTCTCTTATATATGATTGTCTATTTAAATTAGGGCCATAGTTGTGCATTTCTTTGTTTTAACTTAACTGTGGGACTTTATCCTCCATTAAATTGCTACTTGGATGTCTTACTATATCATAGTGATGCTGCTTCAGACTTTTCAAAGGCTATACCAGCAGTATCAACTCTGGCAGGTCCTATGAAGCTGGAAAGACTTCAGATCCTATTGATATATTATGTCTTTAATTTGAGTACCAGCCTAGCAAAGTTCATTAATGGAGGGAGCACTTATACTGATGAACTACACAGATCTTTGAAGTACTAAAATAAGCAGGACTTTAGATTTGTCCTGATTTAATTTGTCATACCAATTTCAGTTCTTCATTTCAACTTGTCAATATTCCCCTCTCAAAAATTGATGGGTTTGGGTTAGATGACTTGTGAGGCTCTTTCTAGCTATAAATGCTAATTCTGTTATCTCTCAGTTTTGTCCGTCTGTACATTTGATAAGCATCCCATCTATGCTTTTTTTTTTTTTTGCTTGGGCAGTTGGGGTTAAGTGATTTGCCCAGGGTCACACAGCTAGTAAGTGTCAAGTGTTTGGTCTGCGGCTGGATTTGAACTCAGGTCCTCCTGCTTCAGGGCTGGTGCTCTATCCACTGTGCCACCTAGCTGCCCCCCATCTATGCTTTTTTGGTCATCAGTAAAAATTGTTGATGAGGACAGGGACATTTGGTGTGCTGGGTTAACATGGATCCGTTAATTTTTTGGGCGGAGTAATCATTAGAGTCAGACATAGGACCCAGGTTCAAATCCCAGATCTGCTTCTACTACCTGTGTAGCTTTGAGCAAACCCTCTTTCCTCATCCTCAGTTTCCTTATTTGCAGAATAAAAGCATTTGAACTAGATGGTCTGTAAAATCTATTTGATTCTCTGGGATCATTTAGTGCCTCATTTTATAGGTGAACAAGCTTAGGTCCAGAGCGACAAATCAAGCCCCCTTGCTCAAGGTGTTACAGTAGGTCCTAAATTATTAAAGCCTCAGATCTTGATTTTTGAAGCCTTTTGTACTCTTACTACTTCATACTGTCTTGTTGGTAGCTTGCCATGTGGCTTTTTTTTTCCTCTTCCTTTTTAGTGGTATCTTTGCCAGAAGTTGAGCACAGTAAAGAAAAATTAAATCGAAGTCATTAAATTTAGATTTTTTTTGTTGGCAAGTTTAGGGCAGTCGTTCTGTGTGGTAGGACTTTTTGTTGGATAAAATGTGTTTGGGGGGTTACATTTGCATAATAATTACATTGAGTCTTTTGAGCTTTATCCCTCACAAAAATTTTTCCATAGGCAGATGGTGATAGTGGTTTTTTGTTTTGAGAAGTATCATGGTGGAATAGGTGAATTTCAGAATCTTAGCTGAAATGGAACATAGTGGCCATTTCCTTCAACCTATACCCGAACAAGGATACTCTGTAACAGAAGTGTCAAACTCTTACAGCTAGTTGGCAAAACTTCCTGCCTGAAACAGATTAAAATGTAATTGGGAAATGTTTCACAAAATAAATAAACATAAATAAAACCTAGATAATGTTAATTTGAGGTTTTCTAGGTCAGTATACCACAGACAGATCATTGCTATTTGAATTAGGCAACACACCCAATAGATGGTCATCTAGCCTTTATTGTAGACCTCATGAAAATAGGAACTTTTTAATTTCCATGGATGACCATTAATTATACTTTTTAATGGTTCTGTTATCAATTTTTCCCTTAAATCTAGTTCTGTTTTCCTAGGGCTTCCACACATTTTCCAATTTCTTCTCCCTGGGGAGAGAGAGAACAAGTATTTCAGTGAAAGACTGCTGGAGTCATGGGGTTCTTTCGTTCTGCTACTTAGTCCTGGGGTGATCCTTTCTGGATCTCTTTTTTTTTTTTACCTGTACAATGAAAGGGCTGTTCTTTTAGGACCTTTACTTCTCTACATTTATGGTCCTATAAATCTAATCCCTGTTTCATGTAGCAGCCCTTTGGATATTTGCTCTCTCCAGAGCTACTTTTCCTCAACCCCTTTACCTAACCTTTACTTTATTGAATGAAGTATACCCTACCAGAGCCATAGTCCTATCGGAATTTTCATACTACTATCTAAGTTTTTTGGTCTTATAAGATCAAATTTGCCTTATCCTACGAGGATATCTGTTTTTGCCTTATTATGCATTCCTTGTGTATTTGTGGGTAGACATCTGAGGTCATGAGTTTGCTATAGTGGCTGCTGACTTGGATGTTGTCCCTTTTGTAGGTATGCCTCTAGCTCTTTCTGTCTTTTGGTATATAGCTTGGGTAGACATAGGTCAACAATTTTCTTTTTTCCCCTTTTTAGTTTAAAAGCCTTCTTCACTTAATTTGCTGAACTCTAGGCGAGCACAGCTTTATCAGTCTTTATGTTAAGTGTACTCCTATATTTTAAATTATGGTCCAGAACTCAAATCTTGTTCTTAGATTCTATGTTCTTTATCATCTGTTCACTTCCCAAATCTGTCTTACTCTCCTAAGACTTTGCCTTTGATTAGCAGCAGTTAAGAAAACATTGTCTGTACCCACTATGATCTTTTGGTTGCTTGCCTAAGACTTCCTTATCTTAAACAATGTTTTGTAGATTTCTTGTGGCAGTGTCATTTGTGCTATGCCCATATGAATAAACAGAACTTGGATAGTAAGTAATCTTCCCAGCTTGAAAAGTCTTGGAACTTTTTTCTCACAACTTGAATTATATGTGTACTCAGAGACTAGCAGAACTCCCTCTTGTCATCAGGTCAACAAATAGCTGTCATAGAACCTCTCAGCATTTAATTACCAAACATTACTTTTCGTCTTCTTCCCCTGACTCTTCCTGGATAATCTCCAACCTCAAACATTTATAGATTCCTGTCATCTTTTTCTGGAGGAAAAGAGCCATTGCTTCCTTCTTAGAGGGTTCAGTTCCCGAATTTTGGAGAAAAGACCTACCTGTTGCTTATCTTTCCCTTTGTTTCCCCTTCTCTTCTTTCTATTTCTCTTTGTTACATTCTTCTACCTTCCAACCTCCTGACACTATTCAGGAATCTTTTCTATTTCTTTAGGTCTTCTTGTGGTTTACCCTCCCCAAGCCATTTTTTTTTTCATGTTAAGTTCCTCTCTCTTTTTCACTTTTTATCATCTTTATTTTCCTTCACTTCTTTATTTCTTCCTTAACCTTAGGCCAGGGTGGGAAACCTGCGTCCTCCAGGACACAGGTGGACTTCTAGTTCCTTGGGTGTGGCCTTTGGACTGAGTCCAAAGTTTTACAGATCCTGTTATTAAGAAGATTTGTTCTCTGAGGTTTGGATTCAGTCAGAGGCCCATTTTTGAGGACCTAGAGGGCTACAGGTGGCCTGGCCACAGGTTCCCCACCCCTGCTTTAGGCTGATTAGCTTGATTCCTTCAACTTCTAAATCTATTGAGATTTCTTCTCCCTTTGTTCACAGTTTCTAATCCTTTCAAATCCCAATTCCTTTTACTTGAGCTGAAGGACCTGAATGCTCTTCCTTTTAGAGCTGGAAGGAACCCTGGCAATTATCAAGTCCAATCCCTTCACTTTACAAGTGAGAAAACAGGCCCTGGGATACTAAGTAACTTAACCAAGGCTGTCCGTGTATTTTAGATTCCAAATTCAGCACACATTCTACAGTACTATTCTGCTTCTCCCTCCTGTTCCTTTCCCACCAAAGCCTAAGAGTAGAATGATTTCTTGGAAGGCTTTGACTTTTGTTAGCACCATTTTTATTTCACAGTTTATTAATTACTAGCAAAGGTGTAAATATGTGAGAATAATCCATAGAACCCAGTAAGTGGTTATTTAGTAGTGATCAGATTCCTGCTGAAGTGTTTTCAACAGAGATGTGAAGAAGATTAAAGGACTAGCATTGTATCGTATGGCAAATTAAAGTGGCTATAAACTGTAGTATGAAAAAAATTAGGTGTGTAATAAGATATTTTCTAAACCATACATTTTTTTGCCCATTGATAAAATTAAGAGAATTCAAGTATTTATTATTTTGAAAGTACTAAAAACCGCATCTATGTTATTTGAAATGGTTTGTATGTAGTCCTACCTGAAGATAGATGGCTTGATATTTGATACCATCAGTCTGGATCCAACCTACATTTTCAGTCTTATTTCACATTGTTCCCTTTGACATACCTATTTTGTCTAAGTTGAACTATTTGTTGTGCTCTGAATTCAATGTGCTGTCTTGTATTGCTGTGTTTTTCGCCCCCTCCCTCCCCAAGATGGCGTGCAATATTATATAGGCGATAACATATACATTCCTATTAAACATATTTCCACATTAGTCATGTTGTAAGGAAGAATTAGAACCAATAGGAACCACAAGAAAGAGAAAACAAAACAGAAGGGAAAAAAAGATAGGCACTTTATTTTTTAAAATCTCTTTTCTTGACCCATCCCTCAGGCTGTAGCTTTATATCTCTCCTCCCTTATACTGCTAAGCTATTAGAGTAGTGCAGATTCAATTCTTAGCCTTTTACAATGTTTTCTAACCCTACTGGTGTAGTGTATTTGTTTTCTTAGATATGACCAATGACATCTTATTTGTTAAATATGATCAGCTCTTTTTCGTCCTCATTGCCCTAGACTTTTGTTAGCTTTTTATGTTGTTGACTACCGCCTTATCCTGAATAGTCTTTCTTTCCTTGATTCTATTCTTGATTGGTCTCCCAAGGTTCTGAGCCTAGGTCCATCTCCATAGGTTTGGTTATATTCTTTGTACAGATAAATTCCAAATCAGTCTCTCCCTCTCTCCCCTACTCCCTTCCTTGAACCACATCTTCTGTCCCACCAGCGCTGTCATATTCTGTTGGTTGTACCTGCACATCATCTCACATCCTTCCTCTTCTCTGCATTAATACTGCCACCATCCTACTTCATACTCTCTTACTATTGAGTTGAACTATGGTTACGATGATTTTCTTTGCCTCTGTTCTCCGTCTTCCTTTGATCCATTTTTCCACACAGCTTTCAAAATAACCTTCTGGTTATATAGACTTGACCCTGGCATTTCTCTGCTCAAGGTTCTTCGTTGACTCCCTGTGGCCTCAAGGATTAGATAAAAACTTAGCCTTTTATATATACTTCTCAGAATATGGGTACAGCCTTAACCTTTTAGCCTTATTTCACATTGTTCCCCTTGATATTTTCTTCATTTCAGCCACATCAGACTGCAACCTATCCTTGAAATCACAACATGCTGTTTGTTAGCTAACAAGCATTTTTTAAGTGCTCAATGCTTGCCAGGCCCTGTTTGAAGCACTAGGCTGAGAAAGGAAGACAAAAACAAAGTTCCTACACTCAAGGGCTCATATTCTGATGGGAAAAGACAACATGCACTTAATTATGTATACATATATATAGAGTAGGTAGAAGATAATCTGAGGGAAGGTGGCCCTAGAGCAGTGGAAACCTGGGATAGGACTCCTGTAGAATGTGAGATTTGAACTAAGTTTTGGAAAAAGCCCCAATCTCAATGCATTTATGTAGACTGGTCCTCTCATCCCTGCTTAACTTCAGTGTACAAAGTGCTGCCTTTGTGGAGACTTTCCTGATACTCATACTATCCTCAGCTGAAAATGGTCTCTCCTAATTTCCCCAGAGCATTATGCGCTGACTTTATCATACTTATCTTTCAACTTGTTGCACCTCAAATAGATTATGTCAATCAACAAGCATTTATTAAGTGCTTTCTGTCAACTATGCATTGTGCTTGGGAAGTTAGAAATGCCAAAGTGAGAGAGATCCTTCTGTGAATGAGGTTATATTTCATTGGGCACTGCAACTGGTTCACAAGTAAATAAAAGATGTATAAAAACTAAATACAAGATGATTTTAGGGGTTAGGGAGGCTCTAACAGTGGGAAAATTGGAAAAGGCCTCTCAAAAAGACATGGGACTTGAACTTTAGGCTCTTTGATCAGGCACTGTGTCACTTATCTTTGTATCCCCGACTTTTAGCCCTACACCTTGGACACACTAGATACTTACTGTTTATTGAATTAAGTACATCAGTATTTTAGTTTTTGCCCATAGTCTTATCTCCCTATGCTGGGTTGGTGTGACTAGTGAAAAATAAATGCACTATCAGAAATGTTTTGATTTCAGCTGACTACATTAAAGTTTTGTAGAGGTATAGTCAACCTTGAGCAAAACCCTTTATACGTTCAGAATATTTCTGAGCTTTTAGAATTAAAAAAAAAAAAGCCTAAATTAACTATCTAGTTTCAAATGGTCTGTGTGATATTCTCCATCATTAAATGTCTTTGAAAGTAATGATAAATTTAAAAATTTAATTCTGCAGAAATGAATGATCATTAACAGAAGCCTGAGTAAAACTGGTTCATTATATTAGTAGACTTATATGTTTATGGTGCTATTCTTAGAACTGTGACAAGTGTATATTTTTCTGAATCCATTTATAAAGGTGCTGTTTGAGGAAACTTCCTTATAAGCAACACTGGAAAAGTAAATTTTTCTGTTTTTTAGAGAATAACCTTTTCTTGTAATATTTTTCTTTCAGATTTTATTGCAGTATAAAGTTTTTTTAAAAATATTGGTTACTCATTTTGATAGTTTCTTAAATTAAGATCTTTTTGCGTTGTAGTTACCTGACCTTAAAGATGCAGAAGCTGTTCAGAAGTTCTTTCTTGAAGAAATACAGCTTGGTGAGGAGTTACTAGCCCAAGGTAAATATCACTAAAAGAATCAGATTTTTTTCATGATTATGTTCAATTCAAAAGAAGAATCATAGACTCTAAAAGCCTCTGCTGCACTTAATAAATGTTTGTTGATTGACATAATCTGTTTGAGGTGCAGCAAGTTGAAAGATAAGTATGATAAAGTCAGGGCATAATACTCTGAGGAAATTAGGAGAGAACATTTTCAGCTGAGGATAGTGGATCATATGCTCATATGTTTTAGAGCTGAAGGGACTTTAGCAATTTCTCATTTTATGTCTGAAGAAAGTGATATTACTAAGGTCTCAAAAATAAGTGGCAGAACTAGGATTCAAAGTGAAATTATTTGATTATAGTTTCATTGTTTTTTCCACTGTATTGCCTCACTGTTCCTGTATTTACTTGAGCAAGTCATGAGCTTTTATTTCAGAGCTCCACATTTCTGTCTGACACTCTGTCAGGATGGGTGACTATTGCCATATTATTTGTATGTTCACATTTAAACCTTATTAAATTCAGAATAAACTTTGTATGATCTGTCAAGCCAGAATTTCGGAGTTAAGAGAGATTCCAGAGGCTATCTGCCTTAAACCCCATATCTGAGCAGGAATGTCTCCTACAACATTTAATAAGTAGTCATTCTTCTACCTTTTTTGGAAGGCCCCTTGGGAGTAGGCCGCTCACTAGCTCTGGAGATGATAATCCTTGTACATTTTTGGGTACGTTTAATAGTTAGCAAATTTTTCCTTCTGTAAAGACTAAATATGATTTGAAGCTTACACCCAGTGCTGCAGTTTTTGCCCTTTAGGACCAAGCAGAATGAGTCTAATAACTTATGTATGACAGTACTTCAGATAATTTTTAAACCGCTTATATGACTCCTCCAAGGCTAAACATTCTCATTTCCTTCCACTGATATACTTGTATGTCACGATCTAGGTACTATCCTAGTCCACCTTCCTCTGAAT